AGTCCCGTGCAAAATTTGGGGGTTTTGCCCTGTTGAAGCTCAAAACGCGTATGGTTCTTCAATAAAATCTTGTAGATTTTTCAGCGGTTTTTGAGCGCGCGCTCATCGTGGGCTCAATTCGAACGTTCAAAAGTAGGCAGCCACCTTAAGACGGGCTAAATTCAAAAAATAACCACACAGAGCGAAAGAAGTGTTATTTCTCAATGATCGGGTAAAATTTCTAGGCTTTATTTAACGTTTCAATGATTTTATTAAAAGTTTAGATGAATCCCCATACATTTCCTAACATGACACCACAGAAACCAAGCTTGCGCTACCTGTGATTTGTCTCGTAGTTAGGAATCTGGGCATAGTGACTCGTACTCCGCCCGTAGCAATTTAATAGTATGGGATCCCTGTGGTTTTCTATGTATTTCCGCAGACCAACAGCAGGCTCTCAGTTTTTTTTTTCGCGGGTTCATTTGCACGTGCGGCCATTTTGAATCAGAAGCTTCTGCAACAAAAATCTTCAGGATTATCGGCTGAATTCCCTCGAAAAAGCCTACAAAATGGCTTATAACTACGTAGTCACTGCACAAAAACCTACTGCAGTGAACGCTGCGGTCGTAGGGAATTTTACGGGTCCAAATGACTTGAACCTTGTCATCGCCAAAAACACGAGAATAGAGATCCATCTTGTTACGCCAGAAGGATTAAGACCGATGCTGGATGTAGGAATATATGGAAGGGTCTGCGTTATGGAGTTGTTTCGTCCTCCTGTGAGTAGTAAAATCAGTTTAAACCCTGTATTCCTTGCCCTTTAGCTTAAATGTTGATAAAACTATACTCCTTTCAAGCAAAATACTCAAACCCAGGCAGATTTGTATCAACGTTGACAAGCAAAAGGCATCGTTTCCTGGTTCAAACTGCCACCAAAATAGCTTTGTCCATCTTATTTTATACTTTGATATACAAATACCATCTTGTCTCTGAACTGTCTCTATATAATTTACACAAATGGACAAAAGCAAACACCCCTCCCTGGGAAAGAATCCACTTGAGAAAACTGTGTCTCCCTGAATTTCCAGATTTTTTTTGCATTGTTAACTTGATGCTGGTTAGAGAGAGGGAGAAATATTACACCTATAGTTCTGTGGAAGGTTTATTTTTGAATTTAGTTTTTTTTTTTATTCACACAGAATGAGCCTCAAGACTTGCTGTTCATTCTAACGGCACGGTATAGAGTCTGTATCCTTGGATATAAACAAGAAACTGGTGATATAGTCACACGTGCATGCGGCGATATACAGGTATGTTTGTTGCTTTCTGTCTCCATTTCTCCTTTCTCATTCCTTCCTTTCATGATTACTTATTTAGTCTATACAATAATTAATAATAATGATTTAATACTTATATTGCTCGTGTTACATAGGAAGATGCTTACATGCGCATTACAAACTGAAATAGATATATATACGAGTGGGAAACTGAAATTTCTTTTTTTCACTCGACAATATTTCCTGCAGAATGTTTATAAGCTGAATCAAGAGCTTTCAATATTACTCTTTTTGACTGACAGCACATGACGGTCAGTGTTTGACCACTATTTGGAGCAGATAATGCAATTCAGAGATGTTTATCAGCTGATTGAAACCCAGAGGCATTTGCATTGTGGAATCATTACCAACAACTATCAGAATCCCTTGCACACTTTCTTTTGTTCAGTTAATTAGTACCAATTGTCTTACTATTCTCATAAGAGAATACGAATTTAAATAAGAAAGAAATTTGGCATTGCCATCCTGCAAACAGCTCATTGATATATTTTCTGTTGAAGAAAGAAAACCTACATAAGTGCTGTGTGAAGTTATAAAGCACTTGCTCCCAACCAATCAGAGCATGAGATTTATAACAGTTATCTTATATATTTTAGGACCGAATAGGCCGACCATCAGATACTGGTCTAATAGCAATGATAGATCCTCAGTGTCGGATGATTGGCTTGCGTCTGTATGATGGTCTGTTTAAGGTTATTCCACTAGAGCTGGATTCCAGTAAAGAACTCAAGGCTTACAATATCAGGTTTGTTCTTAACCTTTTAAACAATACCATCAAATGAAAGTTATTATTATTATTGATTGGAGGGTGTCAATAAGTGACTATTGACTGACTCTTGTGTCTCTTATTTATCTTAGACTGGAGGAGCTACATGTTATTGATATTCAATTTCTCCATGGGTGTGAAGCACCAACAATAGTGTTCATATACCAGGTAAGCTTTGAATTTCTGCAGGGAAAGATCTTTTTCCGAGAATGATATTGGTCTTCAAAAGCCATGATACCATGAAATGACCTCTGGGCTGATCTAAGTCAGGGCATGGCAAACTCACAGATCAAACCCTGAAACAACCTCTGGGCTAATCTAAGTCAGGGCACGGCTAACTCAAAGATCAAACCCTGWAACAACCTCTGGGCTGATCTAAGTCAGGGCACAGCTAACACAGGCCAAATTGGAATTTAGCATGTTGAGTTTTGCATAGGGATGATAACTAAAGAACACAGAAAAAAGGCTCTGAAATCAAGGGGGACATAACAAACTCTACTCATGTGCCATGCTGTGTCTTAGAATAAAATTAAGACTCCAGCTGTGTGAGGTGACTGCACACCACTATGATTATCTACCACCCATGATTCACAGTCCTTGTTTGTATAGGAAACTCATGGCCGTCATGTGAAAACTTATGAAGTAAACTTGAGAGAACATGAGTTCGTGAAAGGACCCTGGAAGCAGGATAATGTTGAAGTTGAAGCATGTAGGATTATTGCGGGTATGTCTATCATAAATGCAAGATTGCGATGATTAAAATAATCATTATTATTACCATCGTAATCATTATCACTGTCACCATTATCATCATCATCATCACCACCATCATTACCATAACTAATATCATTACCATCATCGACATCATAACCATTAACTACTATTATCATTACCATCATCACCATAATAATCACCATCATCGACATCACCATTACATTATCATCATCGCTGCCATCAATATAACCAGTAACATCACCACCACCACCACCATCATCATTATTAACACCATCATCATCATCATCAACATCTCTATCCTCTTCCTTTTTTATGAATTCATTAATTTTAATAGTTACTAATTTTATTTTGGTATTGAATTTATTTATGCAAAAAGAAAGATGCATATTCACACTTTGTATACTAAGTCAGTCACCTTTTTTTAGTCCCTGAACCTCTCTGTGGTGCACTTATCATCGGTCAAGAGTCTATTACGTATCACAAAGGATCTAATTATTATGCCATCGCACCTCCAGCACTCAAGGTACCTGTATGTGCACATACATTTAACTCTTGTTACAGCGGACACCCTTGGGACTTCACTTCATGTCCGTATTATTGAGCGTCCACAATTGGGAAAAAATTATTTACGGCCATTTCTTTTCGGTTTTTTTTGTTGGGGATTTTTCTCCTGTCCGTAATAGCAAGGTGTCTGTAATATTTGGGTGTCCACAAGGCGAGATTCCAAGGTAGTTGGAATTTAGAAGTTGATTTTTGCAGAGGGAGAAAAGCCGGAGAACCCAGAAAACCCTCAAAGCACAGGAGAGAACCAACAAACAACTCAAATCACATATAATACTGAGCTCGTGACTCAAGCCCAGGTCGCATTGGTGAGAGGCAAGCACTCTCACCCTTAAGCCACCCATACTTCCCTACCTTAACTGGAACATGTGAATATTCTACACAAAAATAAAGGCTAACCCTGAGCAACAGAGAACTTGAAACTGGAGTATTATTGCTCTAACATATTATAGCCTGTATTATTTTTACATTTATTTATTTAAATTTATTTATTTATTTAAATTTATTTATTTGAATTTATTTATTTATTTATTTACAGCCATTTGCAAAAATTATGGCCGTTTCTAATATACATTGTATATACAAGTATATGAAAAGTATATCAGACACGGCGGGATATCTTTCTTGATATTTTTTTCAGAAAGTCCTAATGATAGACGAATTGAAAAAAATATCAGGGATGATATCTGATAACTTCTG